ATTCGTAGTGATATTGTCAAATAATAAAATGTTTATCATGAAAAATAATATATTATTAGAAATCTTATTATACACAATATTATTTTTTATAAATGGGAAACACGTCGTCCCCACAAACTAATATTTTCCGCCCGTTTCTATTACTTACACGCGAAACAACAATATATAATTGGTTAGACTAAAAACTGATTTCTTTAAGAACATGTTAACGCACAAAATGGCCACGACTCTTCTTTATCTATTACTTACACACCAAACAACATATAATTGGTCTTGACTGAAAACAAATTTCTTTAAAAACGTGCCAACGCACGATAATGACCCCTGACTCTTACATGGAACTCTAAACTGATGTCGCTTGAACTTAAATGGAACCCTAATATGTAACTATTTATAATATGATAATTTACTTGGCAGTTCGAAAAATGAGCTATTAGTTTATTATTTTAATATCGATAATCAAGTTAGTTAAATAATATTTACTAATATTTTTATACTTTTTTTATGACTCTTAAATGGAACCGTGAGATCATAATGAACTGGTGTCGCTTGAACTTAAATGGAACAATAAAATGGATCTATTTATAATATGTTAATTTACGTGGCAATTCGACAAATGAGTTATTAGTTTATCATATTAATATCGATTACACTTGATTAGCTAAATAATATTCACTTATTTTTATACTTTTTTTTATCTTGTTTAAAAAAACATTAAACATTTATGTTTAAAATATTAAAAACACCTAAAATGTTATATAATATATGTAAGATTGTTTAAGATATTCTATATTATTCTTAAGAAAAGTGATGTCACCTAAAATTTTTCTAAATTATAATAAAACATGTCTAAAAAACACACACACACATGTATATATATGTATGTGTGTATATATATACAACAACAACAACAAAGCCTTTTAGTCCCTAACAAGTTGGGGTAGGCTAGAGATGAAACCCATGTGTGTGTGTGTATATATATATATATTACATTTGAAAAACATGTATTAAAGTTTAAAAAAATATTTGCAATTATATTCGTGAATAATATGTATTACAACACACAAAACATTAAACAATACATCAAACTAATTTTATGAGAGAGATTTATATATAGTAGATATAAAATATAAAAACATTAGTAATTAGATATCACTTTTTTAAGCCGAACAATTTTTAATTGGACAACTACTGTATTATATGTATAAAAACTTTATATATATATAGATATTCATTTTGCATAGAAAATTTAATTTTGTCTACACACACAACATAAAATCGATTTACTAAACTTCAAAAATTTTATTTTTAAAAACAACTGTAAAAAAATACCATAAAAAGAGATGTGTATATCTCACATAAAAAATAATTTGTGTATATCTCCTATAAAAATCGTTCATTTTTAAAGTCTGCTACAATGAAAAAACATATTTAAATATTACTATAAATTTATATTTTGGGTATATAAATGTCAATCCAAATTGTTGATTATCATAAATATGATAAAATAAAAAAGAATACTCACACATGAGAATTGGCGCCATGTAAATTTAAACTAGTACAGATCCCGTGCGATGCACGGGGTGCACAAAAGTCATTTATCAAGTCTTATAATTATATAAATGAATAAAGAAAATATACGGGATATATAGTACGTGACTTGTAATAGGCCAAAATGTGAACACGGGTGATGCACGAGGTGCACAATTTTTAGGCCATTTATGAGTATAGAGTCCGTGCGATGCACGGAGTGCACAACTTTATAGTGTGTGTAATACAAATACATACGGTACGCACGAGACAAAAGCGCTAAATGAGTTATTTTCACAAAGCTTGCTCGTTAAGTAGCTCCTGAACACGGGTGCACAATTTGTAGTACGTACCATAAAATCAGAACAGATTTCCATACAATTAGATAATAAATTAGATAATAAATAAATTTTTTTTTTTATTTTAGTAAAGATTTTACGTACTTTTTTATTTCCATCCAATTTTGTAG